AGCTGGGGCCCTGGGGCACCGGGCAGGGCAGGACTAATGGAGAGTGCGGAGCCAGCTCAGAAAGACACACCACCACCCCTGTCGCCTCCTCCTGCCTGATGCAAAGCCGGAGGCCCCGAGAGCCACGTGGAGGAGACCCTGGGATTTGCTCAGCCAGGGCAGTCCAGACCTGCTGGCTTGAAATCTGGCCTAAGAAAGTCACTCCAGAAGCTCCAAACATGAAATAGATGAAGGCAAGCTGCTGTTTGGGGCCAGCGGGGGCGGCACTCTGGCCCCTCGCTGCCTCCTGATACCATACCCCAATCCTAGAATTTCCTAGAGCACTGATGGAAAAAGAGCAATTCAGTGTCCTCACGTCATTACACAGAAAAAGCTCAGAGAGGGTAAGCGGCCTGCTCAGGTGCACTCTTTTGGCGGGTTCGGATGAGGCTCTGATGTGTATGCGGCACTCTGTCCGCCGCGGGAAAGCCATTGTCCATTTGTCGGCTGGGCTCTCAGGTCTGACGCCTGCGTCCGTGCTCTGAGCCCTCCCATCTTGGGGTGCCCAGGAGACTAGCCAGGAGGCTATGGAAGCATCTTATAAAGTATAAACCGTTTTGTGGTCATTTTAGGACATGAAGGGAAGAAGCCAGCTTTGGGGCAAACTGGTGCTAGGGAAAATTCCAGTTTTACCTCTTATTAAGTCGCTAAACTTCTTACTGTTGTTTTTGTTTTAGAGATGGGCATTAGCGACCTCTGCCTTGCTGGGTTTTCCCGAGTCAGGATCAGAAGTCAGGGGTTACAGGGTGAGCATGTGACAGGGGTCTCTGAGGCTCGTCCCTGCACAGGCAGGTCATGTGATGAGGGACGTGCCTTCTCTGCCCAGGCCTGGCGGGAGTCTGGGAAGTGGTGTCTGGCTTTATCACTCATTGAAATCAAAAGTAACAATCCCCCCAGTTCTTTCTTTTCTAGATCAGCCTTTCCTACACAGGGCCCCCCCCTAAGATACAGGGTTGGTGGGATACAATGCCACCTTGTCTGTGACTCTGTTGGGCCCGGAACACATTTTCTGCCAAAAACCAGGCTGCCAATGGGCTTAGAACCCCTGGCCAGGCCCTGGACGCCCACAGTGCCTGCGAGTCAGCTGACACCATCAACGTTGACACCGGGAAAGCAGCCGTAAAGACAACTAACTCAATATCAGGTGATGCAGATGCACCGTTTCACAGAGTGGGGAAACAGTGAGGGCAGAGTGGGCTCTTTCCTTTCATTTCAAGCGTGGACCCTAGAAGATGCAGGCTTCATTCAAGGGGGCGGGTGGATGGAGAGTCGAAGGCGGCGCTGACGGTGGTCTGACGTCAGGGCCCAGGGGCTGTCACGTCAGCGATCGCTTTGCTAGGTCACGTTACCCGGCAAGACCCAGCTTTGTGTCCACACACACGAGTCACCAGTGTGGCTCCTACACACATCGAGTGAGAGAGAACTCTACAGTACACTTTGCCTCCGAACAGCCTCTGCGGACCCTGAGCCTCCTGCTCAGGGTCCTCGCCCCTCAGTCAATCCCTCTGCAGCTCCCCTTTCTCTTCCCTCCTCAGAACACATTCATGGCCCTCAAAGAGGACAGTAATTTCAGCAAGTGTCTGTGTCATTGTTTGATGAGTGACAGAGAGCTGTGGGGACAGAGACCTCAGCTCGCATGTGGTTCTGCTCCGGCTGGAACATGGCGGTCGTTCCTTAAGGCAACGAACCGCAGCGGATGAACGCGGAAGAGTCAGGGTGCCAGGGAGAGAGACCTGCCGCTCTCATTGTGCCTCGTGAATAGCAGGAAGCCGGGGTCAGAGCATTTACATAACTTGTCTGAGGTCACCCAGCTGGTAAGAGGAGGAGCCAGGGTTGGAGCCCGGCAGGCCCTCAACTGCTGCCCTGCCAGGCACAGGGATTGGGTGGGGGATTGCAGAAAGCATCTCTGTCCTTTATTATGACAAGCTGGCGTTGGGCTTCTCTGTGTGCTAGACGGTCAGGCACACAGTAGGTGTTTTGTGGATGGGCCCGTCTGTGTATTGGCTCAGCAGTAAATCAAGAATTGGGTCCTGATACTTTGGGTGCTTGGAATTTGTATTCAGAGGATGTAAGTTTTAAGCCAATGGTCCCTATGAGTTGGGGGGTATGTGGGGGGAACTGGCACATCTGTGATTCAGTAAGGAGTGTGGCTACCTCCCAGGGTTAGTGTGGCAATTCAAATCTAACAGATTTTACTGACCACACTGGTTCCCCTCTGACCTCTGTTTTGGGGTCGGCTTGCTCCCTACGTGGTACACACCTCCACTCGTCATTATGTATCTGTTTCTGTGTTTCCAGCCCCCAGGTTGGAAACTCCTGAGAACCCAGTCCATGCTGTTACAGTCCTCAGTGAAAAACCAGGATTGAGCAGGTGCCTGGCACATAGCATGTGCTTACTTAACGCAGTTTGGTGGCGGGAGGTATTATCTGTACGGAGCCTGGACCGGACTGTGCTCAGGGGCAGCCTGTCCCTCTCAAGGTGGTCATTCCCCCCACCCCCTGCCCAGGACAATGGAGAGGACAGTCCCCACTTTCTTCTGAAGGCCTGGTAGTTTCCCAGCTTCTCCTGCACCCCTCTGAGACCTGAGTCCTCCTCTGGCCATAGCCTCAGCTGCCTGGAAGGTGCTGAGGAGGGAACTGTGACTTCGCCAAGCTGTTTGACAACAGAAGTGAGTCGCCGAGCCCTTGAGGCCCCAGTTTCTGTATGTAGCTTAGTTACCGTAATGAAGTGAGCCCCCTCCCCTGGTGGTTCTCTGGTGGGAGGAAGTGGTTTACACCCAGAGTGCTATTTCCTTGGGAGAGAGTCAGCCACATGGCGTGGCCTCTGCATACTTATTAGTGGAAGGGATGGACGATGAGGGGATGGGTAGCTGAATAAAAGTCCTACCGGTGCCCTCAGGTTGCTGACAAGAGCCAAATGGTCTGGCCTGATGTGCTGGGGGTCCTTAATGAGGTTTTTAAGCTCCAGCCTCTCTCAGAGCTGGGGGACATAAATTCTTGCTGGATGTCAGGTGAAAAATTAAAATTGAGCAGCATTTATGAGTGCAGGAAGCTGGCTGGGGTTTACCAGAATGAATAATTTCTAAGTCTTTAAGAAGTACACTCCCCTTGAACTACATTGCCAGCTCTCAAAATTCAGAGTGGGGAAATTTTTTCTGTATTAGGAAAATGATTTCAGTTTGCTGCAATGCAGACCTTCCCAGGTCTGCATCACTTACTTTATCAGATGGGGGCGCACGCAGAAGTAAGCACTTGGGAAAATCGAGGAGTGGGGCTGTGTCGTTTGACATGTTGCAGTGAATACAGCCTAGAAGTACCCAAGTAAGTGGAGGTACTTCCATCGTCTGGGCTACGGCTGATATTAATAGCCACGATTCAGTATTTAGCACTTCCTACATGTTGAATATAATTTAATCTTGTTACAGACACATGAGGAAGCTGGCCTTCTTTTTAAGAAAAGGAAACTATGCTCAGAGAGGCAAAGTGACTTGCCCACAGTTGCACAGCGCGTTGGCGGCTGGCCCAGAATGTTGACTGGGGGGCGGCCGACTGAGTCAGAGAGTTTCCATGCAGCCGTCTTACTGCTCTGCTTCTACATCTGTTTAAGGTGCTGGAATGTAAATAGATTTCAATCTGTCTGCCCCATGGGTTTTTAATGTTACCAGTGGTATGCTGGTCAGAACATATTAAGTGCTCTTGAACCGCATTGTCCTATCAATTGCAAAAGATTTCGCAAGAGCTTTGATTTGGTCTTACCTCCCCAGTTTTGGAAGGACCACAGCCCAGTTTAGAGACTTGCTGCTCAGCATCTCAGAGCAAACCACAGAATGACAACTTGCAGAATATGGGGTGTGTTTCTCCTAACACGGAGAGCTCTGCCTTAAAGGCACCCTCCGGCCCTTCACATTCTTACTCTCGCCGAGACTCTGTCCACCCCCACCTCCGCCCTCAACGCCTCTCCCTGCTGTGTGACTCGGACGAGCCACTTAACCTCTCTGAGTTTCATTTTCTAATTTGTCAAAAGCAATAATAATCGCAGTCTTACCGAACTGTTCTGAGGGCTGTAAGAAAATAGCTTTTCATACAACTCACCTCCCCCAGCCACTTGGCATGGGAGACACCGTCCCTTCCCTTTTGCATACGTGACCCCCAATCGGGACATTCTGAGCCCAAAGCCATTGTCATTTCCCTGACACACCAGGACTCCTGGACATCTAGGAAGTTTGAAGAATGTGGAGTGTGCCGTATCCCCAAGAGAAACCTACTTTGCTACGTCCTTCCTGACCCTACCCTTGCCCTGTGCACACTTGCACCACGCCCTTTGATGTTTATTGCTCATTATACCAATTACTGTTGGCGTTTTCCCGAAGAAGGCTCGCACAGCTGGACTCCCAGAAGCACTGCGATGAGCATTGGCCTCTCTGGGCTTTCTGCACCTTTAGACACCGGGACTCCTTACTGATAGAATTTATTGAGCACCTTCTTTGTGTCAGAAACTGGTGGGCACTTTGCATATCTTAGCACGTACAGTCTACTCAATACCTGTGTGAATGGAATCCCATTACCCTCACTTCACCGAGGAGAAAATAAAGGCCTGGAGGGGTTAGGCTGGCTTGCCCAAGGCCACATTGCCAGGAGTCTGACAGCAAGCAGCAGTTGTCCTTAGTAAGAAGCCCGCTGTGTGCCAGGCTGTTCTGCAGCCTCAAAGTCTCCCTGGGCAGGACCATGCAGGCCCCAGCTCCCTAGCCCTCTGGGCCCTATGATTATGCATTAAATACCCACCTAGCAGCTGGGATGTGCTGCACCCTCAGTGGGGCACTGGCCCTCCCCACAGACAGTGCCCTGCCTGTTCTCATCGAGCACTTCTCTGTCTCCCAAAAGTCACCCCCCACTGCCAGCTGTGTATCTAAGGGCTCCTGATGTCGCTCCCTTCCCGGCCCCTGCCACATCCCCCAAGATACCTTCACAGGCCGGACATGGGCTCCCCTGGGAGCAGCTGGCGCGGAGGTGCCAGGATCGCGTCAGCGCCTCTGTATCAGCTGCAGCTGGTCCGGCCGAGTGAGCGGGCGGCTGGGCCTCCCACGGGTGTAGACAAGCCCATGCTATCGAGAAGAGCAGCAGTTGCTACATACGCTGCACGCTTCCTCTGTGAGAAACGAGGAAGGCGCGGGCCTCGCAGAGGGGCTGGTTCCTGTTTTCAGTAACCACTCTGAGCAGCCTTCTCTCTGCAGGGACAGGGAAGAGAGCGGCGTTAGGGAGTTTTCTGCAAGGCACTGGGAGCATAGGCAGCTGGATTCTTCTGAAAGGGCAGGCCACGTTCCGGCTTTCAGAGCCTGGGACACTTTTGTCTCATGTTAAAAGGCAGAAGAGGCTGAAGGGCTGCGCTCACGGCCCCTGGAACTCGCTGGGTCCGAGGAGCAGCAGCTTCTCTTTCCTGGGTTTCCCAATCGTTTCTGCTTCCTTATGTCGCTGCCAAGTCAGCCCCGGAGCAGAGCTTCTGGCCCACTCTGCTGTGGACCAGGTTTTAATGGGCAGAGGCTTAAAATAGTAGCATCAAAGCCCCTCTGCAGAAAGGAGCTGCCCACCGGCCTCCCAGGATGAGGCACACTGCCCCTGGCTGGGCTCCACCAGGAGGAACTAGGAAGGGGATGAAAAACAGGTTGCAGATGAAAGTTGACTAAGAAAACACGGCAACTGAATACAGTGTGTGCTCAGGGGAGACGGACTGGGAAGAATATTATTGGTATGGTGGGGCGGCATTCGGACGTATAACCTCACGTTAGGTAATAGCGTGGCAGTATCAATTTCCTTGGGTATGTATGATAATGACGTCATTGTGTGGGAGAACGTGCTGGGTTTAGGAGAGGCATGTGGATGTCTTTGGAGGTCAGGCATCAGAATGTCTAAACAGTGCACTAAAAGAAACAGAAATATGAACTATAAATCTTAAAAAAGAGAGAGAGAACATGAGAGAGGCGGAAAGCAAACAGGGCAAAATAACAGAGGAAATAACATGGGAGGAATCTAGGTGAAGGGCGTATGTGCATTGTAGCGTTTCAACTTTCTGATGGGGTTGAATCCTCTACAAATAATAACATACAGCTCCCTGTTCATCACATGCCAGTCTCACGCAGCAAACCCTGGCGCCTGGGCTGCACGGGGTTGTCAGTGGCAGAGGCAGCAGCTGCCGAATGTTCACTCTGGGCCTGGGAGTCGTCTGCTTGAGCCAGGAATGCTGGGGCTGCTTCCGAGAGCCCCGGACAATGCCCCACCTCACGGAGACGACAGAGCAGGGTGTCCAGTGATCCGCCAGAGCCGCACAGCTGGTTCTGGAGCAGAACCTGGGCCTGTGTCTCTCTGGCTGCTGCTGGGAAGCCCAACCCAGCAGGGCCGACAGGGCCGTGGGGGGACAGTCATTTAGAAACCTCACTCGGTGTAGTTATCTAAGATGAATTGAAAACATCGGGGCCGCTTCTAAATTTAGAAGGAACTCTATACTAGATAGATGCTTCCTTAGACGGCCTGTGAAAACACCCGCAGGGCGCGCAGCACACTGGGAACGGACAGAGGAAATGTTGCAAAAGACCCAGTGGGTGATTTGCTTGCAAATGGAGTTTTTCCCCAAAATTCACACAGAGGCATAAAGGAGGTTTGGGCAGATAGTCAGAAGGCGTGAACTTTGGGGCAACTTCTCAAACAAAAAAACATCTACTGAGCGTTATTCCCTTATTTCATCATTTATTCCATGAAATGTCATGGGGCCAGTCCCAGGCCCCAGAATCCAGCTGCGGGCAAAAATCCCGTACCGGTGGAGCCTGCTTTCTCTGGTGGAGCCATGAGATAAAGATGGACCCACGGCAGCTACCAGTCATGGTGACAGCTGGAAGGAAGGGAAATGGTCACTGTGACAGAGGCCCCTTGGCGCTCCTTCCCACCAGCGATCAGTGGCGGGGGAGGGGCTGTCCATGGGGTGGGGGTGTGTGCCTCAGCTGAGACCTGTAGGAGCTCCTCGGGAGGGGCCCGGGTGTGAGAGGCTGGTGCAGAAATAACTGCAGGATTAACACAGGCTTTGGGGGGTGAGGGGCAGACGTGGGCCCTAAGAAAGCGCCAAGTCTGAGAGCAGATAGGCAGGGACCGTAGTGGGATCGTCATCCAAGGACACGTTTCAGCGGGAGAAGCTGCTGCAGAGGAGAAGCTCCGAGGGCAAGGGTTGCAGTACCCACTCTGCCCCTCTGTACTGGGGAACTGGGTGGCCTGGGGTGCTGCTGCTAACGTCCCCTGGCCTGGGTGTTCCATCATGTCCTTCTCCAGTCTTGGGGTAACTGACAGGAATCAGAGTAAGTTCTAGACAATGTCCTAAAACTGCCCATGCAGGAGGATGGTGTGGAGGTTGGAGCCCATGTTTGGCAAGGGATGTCCCCCCGCAGTGGGAGGCTCAAGCGGGAGTATGGCGTCAGCCCTGGCCCAGAGATGAGCCAGGAGGCTACGCTTCTGAGCTCCCAAAGACACATGGGTCCATCGGTATAGAAAGCACCTGATTTCCAGAGGCTGTCAGTTCGTGAGCTACCAAGGCAGGGGTAATGGCTGTGGGCAGACCAGCAAGACTCCCCTGAACATTGAAGATTAATCAATTTAGTCTGAGGCTTGAGTCCTCAAATCACAGAAATGAAGTATTCCACTGTGTGAACAACTAGCTTTGCACACTCAGGTAGTCAGGAGCCAGATGTCACATTCCCCAGCTGGGTTATGGCAGGTGTCCTCACCCCAGCAAGCGAAGCCTGTTCCTCCAGCTGCCAGTCTCAGGGCGATTTGGCGTCATGTGGCAGGGATGCAGTGAGTAAGCCCTGCAATTTGGTCCAGTATGAACAGATCCCCAATTCTACTCAAAGTACTTTTTCTTCTTTCTATATAAACCTGGGAAAGGTTAGGAGATAAAAAGGACAACCTCAAGAATGAGTAAACTCCTTCTCAAAGGAGAGACTCAGGGGTAAGTTAGTTCACTCAGGAGGGAAGTACAACACGCGTGTACTGGATGCAAGCCGTTCTTGGTGCCGTAGAACAGCTGATGGGATTCTTGTGTCCAGCGAGGGCTTAAAGCATACCACCGTCAGGTTCCCATGCAAGCTAGAAGTTTTCTGAGAGCCAAGTCTGTGCCCTTTCTCTGGCTGGATCAGTACCGACCCATTCATTCATTCATTCATTCATTCATTCATTCAGCCAGTGTTTGTGGAGCACCTGCTGTGTGTGGGCACTGCTGTAGGGTCAGGGTTAGAGAAACAAGCAGGCAGTGGTACAGAAGGCTGCTGAAGGGACGGGGACAGTAAGGAGAACCGTCACCTGGGAAGAGAGTTTTGTGTGGAGCCCAAAGTGACACCAGTGAGAAGATGAAGAGGAAGAAGGACCAGGTAAAGCAAATGTTAAATGCCGGGGTTCAGGGCTGCCAACGCTCGGAGCATTGACGGGAAGAAAAAAGGGAGAGGGAGCTCATGCTTGGAGAGCCAGGAAGGAAACTTGGCTGTTGCTTACGGTACCTATTGACTGTCCCTAATTACTCTGTGTGTCTGGACTTCGCCTGAAGACACCGAGGCTCCTGGGGTTTCACTTACTTGCTCTAGGTCACCCAGCTGATCAGCGACACCGCCCAGGTCCCCCCAGGGGTGAGCCCACTGTCACTGTTGTGCTGGCCTGCTATGGGGCCCTCCCATGGCGTCCCTCCTCTGTCCCAGCCCTGTTCCCCTAAACAAGACAGGTCCTGCCCCCATCTTCCTGCAGCACCAGCCATGTACTTTGTTTGCCCCATGACCGACTCCATCCCTTTGCCTGGCAAAGGGCATTCGATGCTCATCGCAGCTTGTTCTGCACCAGTGTCCTGCGACAGTGCCCCCACACCAGGCCTCCAGGTCCCCCACAGGGACTATTTGTGTCCCTCAGCACCCAGACAGCCTCCAGTCTCTTCACCATTTACTTTGCCACTGCCCACCCCCTACCTGTGTGGAATGCCTGCTTCCTGCAAGTCCCAATCCTGAGCTCACCTTGTCCACATGTACCCCCAGAGCTCCCCCAACCCGAGGTGGCTGCTCCCCCCTTAGAATACCCCTGGTAGTTTTATCTGCCCCACAGGGACAGGGCACATGCATATTGGAGTTGAGAACAGGAGGGGGCAGTTTTGGGGAGCAGTGTGACCTTGCAAAGTTTTCTGAATCTCTTCGGAGCCTAAGAGCTGTTACTATTCCTATTTCCTTTCCGGGTCTTCAGGGTCTGTGGAAGATGCGTGTAGATGAGCTAGGGCAGGGCACATGGTGGGGGCCCACTGGATATGGACGCTTCCCTTTCAGTGTGGACCATAAGCTTCGGAAGGCAGGGACGTGCCTGACACATGACCATTGAGCCTAGCACTGAGCCTTGCCCCAAAGAGACGATCCGTAATCACCCATTAAATGAATGAATGAATGAACGAACGAGTGGATGAATGCAGTTGGGCTGCCTTCTAAACAAGGGCTTGTGCTTTGTGACTATTGACTTTCCCCCTCTGGGGAAGATGATAAGCCAACTATGAAAATCAACTGGGAGAGGTCAGACACTGTTGCTCCTCCAGAGATGGGAGGTCGTATTTCTGGAACCATCTCCGAAGCCGGATGAGTGAGTGGTCCATCTGGACGAGCTGAAGTCTCCCAGCTGGAGCGGAACTTCAGTGTTTATGTCATCAGAACCTTTCTGTGTACCTTTGGCGGGGCCTCTTGGCACTGAGTGTTCTCCGGAAAAAGAAAAGTAGAAGCTCCACTTCCACTGCCCGCCGTGCTGAGAGGAGTTGCACAAGCTGATTCACTGGAACAGTCTTTTCGGTCTTGCCCAACCCAGCCCTGCTGCGTCCACCTGGGGAGGCCGCGCTGCTCCTCGGCCGCGGGAAGGTTGAAAAGCAGGTCAGAGGCCCCCAACTGTGGGGAGGCCGCCGAGCAGGGTCCTGTTCCGGTCTCTGCAACTTTGCAGTTTTGCTTTTCTTACTAACTTCCCTAGGTACACTAATATACACACTCTTTTATTTATAGTGTCTGACTCAGGCATTGCCTCATTTAAATGAATATTAGAGTAAACGAGCGTTAGCCTCAGGCCAGCTGTGAGGCTGAGCTCTAGGACGACGAGGGTGAGTGGGACGGGTGCCCAGCCACCTAGGACCCTCATGAGCAGGGGCCAGGGGTGAACCATAATGGCAGGCAGCATGGCGGGGGCTCCAGAGAGGAGGGAACACAAAGGAAATTCTCTCCATGTTGCAGTGTCCCCGAGGCTTGACGGAGGGATGATGTTCAGCTTAACCTTGAACATGAGCAGAGCCCACAAAGGCTAGGCCTTTGGCAGTGCTAGCCAGGAGGTTCGGTTTGTGCT